AGAAATAATACTGTATTATGTAATTATCCTGGAAAATGAATGACTATCCAGGACTTATTGTCTTGAAAATTCCGAAATTTGCATGAGAAAGATGTCTCACACTCACACATTTAAATTTCTTGAAAATGTTTCAAATGTAAATCATGAAGTTCTCTTCGACCACTCTGGAAAATTACAGTTATACATTCTCTTCTACGAATGAGGAGTAAAATTTCAGTTTTCTGAACACAGATGTCGCTTCCAGCAACTGGAATCATCGACGACAATCAAAATATGTTCGCTTGTAACAGAAGATGTTATGAAGAGGCAAATCAAAAATGATCATTTTGTACTTTATAAATGTAATGAAATTTGGTTCATAAGTGTCGTGAGTCTTGTTCTTTCCTCAAAGAAAAAGACGGAAAGTAACGGGTATTACAAAAAATATCATTTATTACTTTTGAAATGATCATAAAATATTTCAATTTTAGCACCTTTGCTCTATATTGTAATGGAAAAAGACGGTTGAAAAAGCATTTCACTGTAGTGATAAATGAGTCATTCATCAAACATGCATGTCTATGTGTGACCTTTCAAATAATCTGAGAATCATGACAGTCATAAAAAATATTCCTCGTGGCAACGTCGTTCCAGATCTGAAAACCATCTTCAAAAATATTCTAATGCTTGAAATGTTTTTCTTTCGAGAAAGCTAGTTTCTTTCGATTATGTCGAAAGGTTCAACAACCTGCTGTAAGTCGAATATTCTATAAGTTTCTCTTCATATTTTGCTTTGAGTTTACTTTTCGCGAGAAATGTAAAAAATTTCAAAGATTATAATTCACAGCATTTTCCTCACCTCGCTTTGAAATATTTTCACAGCATTTTCATTCATAAATGAACTTATTTTCTTGAAAAAAAACCTGTTTTTTCAGCTCAAAGATCACAAAGAAAATCGTTCGAATATTTCTCGGTGTCTTCGGCGGAATAAACATCATCACCATCAAAAATGAAAAAAACATTCTCAAACTTTCAAATACAGTATTTGAATGATGTGCGTCCGGGAAGAAAACAAATGAAGCAATCAATCAAGTCATTGATTGCTTGATAAGTGCAAGTGTCAAAAAACGCAAAACGCAGTGAATTAACATTTTTGGAAATATTCCTGCGCATTTTGGGTGTAATGAACAGCAATATAACCCCTCGCAAATCGAAAACCTATTTATTCATATATATGCGCAAAAGTGAGAGTGTCCGGGCATAACAAATAAATACTGTAAGTGAATCATCAATCGATTGATCGTCGTGCCATTGATGGAATTATCGGAGATGCAAGACGCCAAAGAACAGAGCTTTGAAGAGAACACTTGCGACAACATCCCTAGCTACTTGATGAGCGAAGGCCCTGACGACGACGACGACGAAGACGACGACGTCGTCGATGTCGACAACAAAGGTGACGCGTCGAGGGCTAAAATATCTCGTCAACGAAGCGTCGTCGACATCGACGTCGACATCCCTGATGTCGTCGCCATGGACACAAAAAACCGAGGAGAAGAAGAAGAAGATGAAGAAGATGAGGATGAAAATAATCACAAACGGCGCCACAAAGTCATCACCACAGCCGCCTCAGTGATGATGACGACGAGAGACGACGACGATCGCGGCGGCGGCGGCGGCAGTGGTGGGTTAAAGTGTTGTGATCGTGTTCCGAAGGCGCCTCGAGGCGCCCAGGCCGCCACTATTCGTCAGCATTATTACCCTGAGGGCGGCTGGGGTTGGGTGGTGATGGTGTGCGCCGGCGCCAGTCATGCCCTGGGGGTCGGGCTCCAGCTGAGTTTCGGCGCCTTTGCTGGCTCAGTGGGCGCCAAATTCCCCACTGGTGGTGGCGGTGGTGGTGGTTCTCTGGTAACGCTGGGTGAGTTTTCAAAACCAGACAGTATTCCTGAAAGGGTACTTTCCTGTTATCTCAGTACCTACTTTCATGTTATCTCAATACCTACTTTCCTGTTATCTCTGTACCTTCCCTCTGACCAATTTAACCTGACCTAACCTAACTTCACCTAACCGCCTCCCAAAATCAGTTTCTGCTTTCTTTGGGTTTCTGCTGAAATTGATTTTGGGAGGCGGTTAGGTCATGTTATGTTAGTTTAAAGATATTTGTAACTAACATAACCTGACCTAACCTATTTTCACCTAACCGCCTCCCAAAATCAGTGTCAGCAGAATGAGGAAAATAAAATTCACAGTTTCTGGTAGGTTGTTGTGATTATGAACTTGTCCTAAAGATTTGTCTGGATGGTAGTGTGGTCTAGGAATGAGGTACTGAGATAACAGGAAAGTACGTGAAAGTCCCCTTTAGACATATTTTAAAAATGTATCTTGGTCAGTATACAGTGAGACACCAAGATGTGGACATAATTGGTGCATCAAGAGTGTCTCTAAGTTGAATTGTTCCTAAGTTAAGTCTCATTTTCCCTTAGACTTACATTATATAATTTTTAATTGGTTTTTTATGGACAAAATATTACGCGCCATAATTCCATGAAAATAAAAATTGTCTCCCAATTCAAACTGATTCAATCAATATATTTCAGCACAATATGGACATTTGGGGAATTAAATACTGATACTTCTGTACAGTTAATAGAAATGGCATTCTCTTAAAAAAAAATAACATTCAGGTGAAAAAGAGAGAAGGAAGTCCCTCTATGCCAGAGGTAATTTTTTTAAATTAGCTAAATAGATGGTAGATTGGCTAGAGAAATGCCCAAGAACTTTTCTTACATCAATTTTAGGGTTGGAAATATCTGCTTCTTGTAATGTGGTCTGAAACCCATTTGAAATGTTATCACAAAATATTCCCATGTCAAGTCAAATTCCTCATGTTGGGCCTTTTTCATTAATTTTTTTATGGGAAAATAAGTGTCCCTATGTCAAATTGTCTGCATGTCAAGGTGTCCGCATGTGGGGGTCTCACTGTATTTGAAATAGATATAGAAAAGATTTGGATTGACTAATACAACACCAAATCAACTTTCATGGTTTTCAGGGAATTTTTGTTATGAAATTCCAAAAGAAACAAGTGTTTATGGATGAATTAACTCCAGCAAAACATGTTGTCTATATACGGATTTCTCTGTACACTGATTTTTTTGTTGGACCCCTTATTAGGGTTTCCTCATGATTTTATATAGGGTTTATTCACAAGATCACCTCATAATAAACTCTTCCTCCAAAATTTTGGGTGAGCTACATACAAGATAATTTCTTGAAATTAGATGTGTTGTATACTGAAGGTACTTTTAGTTGTAGGAAGAGATTTAAACTTGCACTTTTTCTCCAAGTACAGTTTAAAAAAAAACTACTGGTAATTGTGGACAAATATTGGATTTTTATGTGATCTTTGTGAAATAATATCTTACCTTCAGTTAAGGTATGAGTATGAAACACATATTTGGTTTCTGCCTTTTTCAATTTTTCTGATTATTATATCATCAATTTTCCTCAGTCAGAATTCCTCCGCCAATTTGGTAAATTATTAATTCCTGAAGACGCTGACGCTGATGCTATGAATTTCATTGAAAAAGAAAATTGACTCCTTAGTCTGAATTTCTGTCGCAAAATTCAGCTGAAATTAAGTGAAAAGGGGGCATTTTGAGGGTGACAAATGGGAGACGGCTCCAGCAATATTTCTCTCCTGGAAGGGGCAAATTCAGCCTAAATTGCATGGGTACCAATAACAAGGCAAAATAATATCCGCAAGCATGGGACCCCTATTAAAGGTGACAGGTCATTAATTTCATGTTACTTCAGGGGTCCTTGAAATTGCTGAGCTATACAGTATTATAGGAATATTCTAAAGAGAACTTTGTTTTGATTGCCTTCTTTTGAACAGTACAGAAAAAGTAGAGGGACATACAATCATACAATTCAATCCAAACTTAATTTTACCTCAACTTGATTGAAAATTCTACTTTTCTTTTTATACTTGCTGATGGTAGCATTGGGTCCAGTCAAGTGTAAAAAAAATTAGATTTTTCCACCTTGAATGAGAATGAATGACAGTATTAACATTTGAAATAATGAGAAACATCCTGAAGTTTAAGCATGATATGCAAAATTTGGGCTCATGAGAAAATCAAAAGCATGTTCTTTTGATTTCTTTCTCTTCAAAACACCAGTCATGGCAGAATTTTATACATTTTTTAAACTGCTGAGATCTATGAATTTTGTATTCATGTGGAAAAATTGGGTCTCCTTCAAAAATTCGGTTCATTGGTACAGTAGCTGTCTGTATTGTTCAAAAAACGCAAGAAATAGGGTTTTGTTTGTAAAATTACCTGAATGCTTCATTTCAAGGTCCTCTCAGAATAACACATAACAATAAAGTAAAATGTGTGTTTATCTATTGGCATACAGCCCCTCATTTGATGAATTCAAGATACATTTGAAGAATAAAAACGCATAATTTTCTTGCTGGTAAAAAGATTCTTTTCATGACTACTTTTGGCAAATATCATGGAAATATAATCGTATTGTCTGGTGCTTCAACAATTTTAATATTTCCCAATCGTCACTCATTTGAAGAAACTCTTACAACATAAAAGAGAAGTTTGAATTGAGAGCAAAGCATCTCTGGTCCATGGAGTGAATTTCCCCTTATAGAAAAAAGAAATTCCTTCAAATTCTCCATTGAAATTAAATTGAAGAATACTCCTTCTGTCTTCTTTTTCGAGAGATCTCAAGCATTGAATTTGAAAAACAAAACAAAAACTTTCAGTTCCTCAATATCTTACTTTGAAAGAATATCTGCCCATTTAGCAGAGCATTGCAGAAGGTTTCGAATACATTAAACTTTTTTTTTTAAGCCGTTGTATTTTATTTCGTGCAAAAAGTGTTCCAAATCATATGTGAGGAGAATTTTGAAACAAAAAAGAAATATTGTATGAAGAAATATAGATGGACTCTCTTATTTGCAACGATTTTCTCTGTTTTACAATGAATTTCTTTTTTTTATCCCTTAGGGTTTTCTTCGACACATTAAAGTCCTCTACAACGAAATTTTCTCTACAATAATCTTTTTTGGTCCCTAGAATTTTCTGGTAGATAAACAGAGTCCATATGTATTACTTTCCAAGAAAATTCCCTTTTTTTTTGGGTGTCAATTATTATTCACAAGACCGACAACGTGAAATCTACGCTGCCGGCCTGTGCTAGTCAAATTTTGCAAAACATTTGAGTTTCCGACGACGCTGTCGTATTTTCAGTCGACGTTCCATCTTTTATGGGTAGCTGATTTCCTCTGTCACTTTCTGCTGACGATTCCAATGTCGGGTTTCGACACAGGATCCAGTAGAACATGGGGAAATATTTCGACACTGGCCTCAGGTAGATGGAGTTTGGGTAAAAAAGTCTTGCGAGGTTTTCTGCGTGTGCGTCTGCGGCTGGGGCAAATGCTGCCAATCGAAAGCCCCAGGCTCCAAGACGATTCAAAACCTTTTGGATAATAGAAAAAATTGGCAACAGAAGAAAATATGAGTGGCGAGAGAATTTTTGGTGACTTAGTTTTTTTTATAGAAAACTTCACTACAGTATCATAATTTTCTAGGATTCAGTAATGCGACGAATTTATTTTTTAAACTTGCTTATTTTAAAAAATAATTGAGAAGCCAGAGAGTTTTTGGTGGCTCAGTTTTTCTTTTTATTATGGAAAATCCCAGTACAGTATCATAATTTTTTAAAATTCAGTGCAACAAAAGTTTTTTTTCAACATGCTTATTTTACTACATTTTACTGGTCCTTATTTGAATATGAATGAATAAACAGATAGCGTTATTTTCTGCTTTTCAGCATTCACAAGGTTCAATCAACATTCCCACATCCAATTGTGGGTTCTAACAAAAGTTCTGGGAGTAGCCATGAAAATGGCCTACAGTTGAGCTGGAAAAAAAATTGTCTTTAGGGAAAACATATTCTTTGGCACAAAAAATCATCATCTTCTAAGTGGAAAGCAAAAAGGTGAATTATGAAAAAATTCAAAAAATTTGTCAAACAGGGCTGATATTTTTTTGTGTGCCAAAAAATATGCTTTCCCAGAAGAAAAAGAAATTTTCAGCTCAACTGTAGGCCATTTTCATTGCTACTCCAAGAACTTTTGTTAGAACCCTTTTATGCTTACAACCCCCTCTGTCCCTTAGAATATTCTCAAATATGTTCTCTTCTGGCCTCTGAAGAAAACAAAGGTGAAGGTGGAGAATTTTCTTTGGTATACACATTGAAAAAAAGTGTGAAGAATGGGAAAGTGATTAAAATAGAGTAATTCCATTCCCTTTGTATTTACTAATAAATGATAATTTAAGCTGATTTAATTTCTAAAAATCCAAACATGTTTAACCAAAAACTATGTTTCTTCTTCACATCATTTGTTAGGCAAGCAAACCATCATCAATGTATACTTTCTCCACACAGTATTTATACTTGTGTTTCATTCTTTTCCTTCATTCTTCATTCTTTTCATGAGTTGGGTTGGGTGGGGAGGGGGTTTGGATGCGGGAGTTCTGGTTATGCCTTGTGAACCCTGAAAAGTGGCAAATAAAGTTTTCTGTTCATTCATTCATTCATTCTTAAAATTAATGGTAAAAGTAAAACCTAATGAAGGGGTACTTATTAAATGATGAGTTAATTTAATCAAGGAAAAAGGATGTATCTAGGTAGAATTATCCCAGTTCAATCTAGTAGTTGATGGAGTAAGAGTTTGCCAAGCAGTCATTAACCTTTGTCAAATACTCTTTGTCCTTAAACCCATGAAATCCAAGAAGGAATTCTGGTCCCTGTCCCAGGCTCATTGCTGTCTTTTATTTTCGCTGTTTTACTCTTCCAATCCAGCTTGAACACTAACTTATATTGAGGCGACATCTGTCCCCAATATCATTCAAGCCCTGCCAAAGCAAACAAACTAAACCAAATTGACTCAATTAAGTAGCTTCTAAAATACTAGTAAAAAATTGGCATCTTTGAATATGAAGACGTTGAGATGGATGTAATTTATAATGAATAGAAATATATTTTGAAACTTACTTGAGAAGTGGTCATGGATTTTGGCCGCAGTCCCCGGCGTTGCGGGAATTCTGCCCAAAATTCTGCCGGCATTTTACTTGTTGATACCTCATCCAACCCGTAGATGGCGTTGGCTCCCGCCATTTCACCTTGTACATGGAGGTACATCAAGTCCTGCCCGGCCATTTTGTGAATTTCTTATTTTATTTCGAATACTGTACGGTATATTTGCACTATCCTCGGATCAGTCATGATCCGGCTGCAATTCGGCCATAAAATATTGGCACAGAAACTAAAAGAAGCCGCATTTTCTGTCCCGCAAATTCCTGAAAAAAATTATTAAATATCTTTTGTCGAAAAAATATATAATTTTCTTGAACTCTGAATGATTATTTTGAATATTCCTCAATGCTTTTGAAAAATTTTAAGGCCATTTTTCAATCCTCACAAAGGACTGTGCAAGCACTTATACAGGTCGACATTCTCTCTTCCTCTAAAACAATCTCGTCTACAACGAAATTCTCTGGACAACGAACTTTTTTGCATCATTCAGGGTTCTCTCCCGTTTTACTGGAGTTCTATCTACAACAAAATTCTCTCTGCACATTTTTTTTCCTAATTATGTTCTAGAGAAAGTCCACCTGCATCACGATCACGAAAGCTGACCACACTTTTTATTCCACACAGAAGAACACGAGTTCATCACTCAAACAAAGAAAAACCAATGCCAACATATCCTAGCTGGAATGTATATTCTTTACATGCATTTTACCAAAAACAATTTTTTAAAGAAACAAGGAAGTGAACTTTGGAATCCATAAACTCTGGGATCCGATGCTCAACAGTTTTATCTTTTTTCGGTATTGTACTATACTTGCTGACTGATAAGCAATACTAATAAAAGATTACAATATTCTCAGACATTATCAGTATCCTTAGGTAGAAATTATCAGTCCTCAGATAACGCATGAAAACTGTTACCTGGAATGTATTCATCTCTTGGTTTATATGTCAGTCAAAAATAAACGCAAGAAAACCGTCAGCGAAGTTGTAGAACTTTTATTATAGGCTAGAACGAATTGAGGCGAAAGTTCGAAAAACGGAGTTTTTTTCAAGGTTTTAGAATTTTTTGTGTCAGACGTCAACTGTGTTTATGAGTCATCATTCAAGTAATATCCATCAAACGCAGAATCTTGAATTCATATGAACTTTTGAATTCGGTGAAGGAACATTTAGATCATCGAAGTTTGCGGAACAGTTTTCGACGCACAGTAAATATATACATGCACAGTACTGTACTGTATAATGAAAAATAATTGCTGGACGTTGCAAAAAATAATCAGTTATGCTCAGCTGATGAGAGACCGAATATAGTCCAAGTTCTTGCAGAAATTTTCCTTTCGAAACGTCATGATTTCGTCTGGCAAATTTTCTCGACAGATACTATACTATAAAGACGAACGCTTGAAAGTCCAAAGTTTTCCTTCGCACTTTCAAAAACAAGAAGCATCTGTTTTTCTTTTCTTGGCACACCCAAAAATATATCAAGCACGTGGAAATTTTGTCCATCAGAAAGTAATGAATGAAATTCAAAAAGAAATCACTTCGTCGTGCAGCTTTCGCTCTTATAATACACTCAATTTCGATTGCTGATGTGTTCGACAACCTGTTCACTGGAATATATGCCAGACAGTGAGGAATCCAACATGAATACAAAAAGCCATCACATGCAGCAGGTGTTTGTATATATGTAGGGCAAAAATCCACGACTGGTTTGGACGGTAACACAATACGTCAGACCCGTTGGACTCGGTTCCTGACAAGTAAATACAGTATATACATACGCAGGAAACAGGATCCATGAGCTCCCTTTGTGTATATCCATATTGTGTATATACACAGCTTGCCACACACACAGATTCCGACTTCGTACTTTGTTTTCAAGTTAAATTTCATGTTTTAATTCTTATAACATTGTATAGAAGCAACCCGTCTTTGTGAGAGGCAAAGGGGAGCATGCGTGCTTTTCTGTTGTTCATTCTGCCAATTCGAGCCTTCAATGGAAAGAAACACATTTTCACAGTGAAAACGATTCAAATTACAAGAATATTGATCAAAAGTTTGCTTCCTTGTTTATTCAGAAAAAAATTCAGTTGGTTTACGAGAGATTACACGGTTCCGCGCGGATCAGCTTCTTGCTTCCGGAAAAGTTTCAAAATTCAACAACTGAACATTTCAAAAGTCCTGTTTCTACACATGGATCAACAGGGCTGAGAAGTGTGCAAAAATTTGTGGTGATGACATTGAGAATGTGTTTGCCTCTTCGGAATAAAAGTGAACACTAGTAAAATGTTTAAGAATCCCTGATGGTTCCCAGATTTCGAGTCCGCGCGGAAACGTGTAGCCTATCGTACGTACGGAACAACATTTCCAGGTCTATTCAGACTGGGCTAGTGATGAAATGATCTTGAAAAAAAAAATAAATGAACGGTTTATATAGACCCCTGATATTGAAAAAAATGTGGATGCTGTGCGACTTTCCAAAATACTGTAATGAAGATCCGCGCAGAAAATTCGGTTCTGAAAAAGTTTAGTATGCTTCCGAAAAACATATGAAAAACTTTCTACCTGCGGGAAATCGCGAAGAAAAATACTATCTTCTTTGATTTCATATTCAAATATGTTTTAGCCAAATCGCTGCTGGTCATCAGCTTAGAACAAATTTAATAAACTTTTTTCAGTAAAAATCGCAAAATGGTTGAAAGGACTATTCGATGGAAAATTAAATATAGCTCAGCCACGCTAAATTTTAAATATCTTAGGCAAAAAAATGAAAAAGCTTAGCCACGGCAAGAAAAAAACTTGTTTCGAAGAAGCACATCAGTTCAACGATGAATCATGGTTTCAACCGAATACGGCCTATACGGGAAATAATCAAACGCACCACATGTATAAGTTCTTACATTCAAATCAGTTTTATTTTCGAGGATCATCAACAGAAACACGTGAAAGGCCCAAATGATCAAAGCATTACTGCACGCGAAAATTTAATGAATATAGTTACAGTAATTTTAAATAATGACAATATTCGGCAGCAAACAAAATTCAGTATTTTACATATTTTCAAAACAAATTAGCGGGTTTTCCAGTCGTGCCAGAAATCTTATTTAAAAACGGATACCGCTTTCAGTCATGGAAATACTTTTGGTTGACGACACAGTCAAAAAAATTAAATCCCCATCCCAGCACACGAAAAAACAACATAATTTTTGAGATGAAATGAATTACTACATGCCTTACGGTTTTGTTGCAAGAAGAAAAAAGACATTGAAGCGCCTGATGAACGGAGCAATGCTTCGGAAACCATAGCCGCAGGCGATATTTCCGGAACATCATCTGTTATGCGGAATATTCGAACCAATATTTTCTAGCAATAACAAGTCTTCAGCACTCGAACTTCCTGTCCTTTCTGATGGATTCAATGGGTGCGTATGATCATCATTCATCAGCAGGTGGATTATCAGACGATGATGACCTTTTCTTCGTCATCCGTAATCCGTGATGTCGGTTTGCGAGCTGGAATGTTACACACTCGGTTTTGGGTCCCGAAATAGGACGTAACAGAAATGATTGAAATATTCATCGGAAGATAATTGCAGAACACTCTTGAATTGGAATCCAAATGAAGTCAGCCGATTCAATACCTGAATTTATTTTTAGAGAAAAAAGAGGGAGAAAGTTGTTATAAGAGCTTCATAATCCAGCAGTTATGGTGTTGTACAGATATGGTTTTTATCTGTTAATATACCAGACACACATGATAATTTACATCAGTGTAGGATACATTCATTTGTTAACCATAAGAAATTCGTATTCAGGGCTGTTCAAAATACGTATACATTCTGAAGATGACAAATGCAAAAGAAAAACACACCCATATCTTTGAGTCTGCTGAAGACCAAAAATTCTTCATCTGTCAACACTTTTTACACGAACTTTCAAGGAAATTTTTAAGAAATACTCTGCAAACTTGGGGGAAGGTAATGAACACAAAAAACGTAATGACTGTCAGATAAATAAGCAAAGTTTCAAACATGGTTGCAGTGAACGTACAAGTCAGCAAGAACAGAAAAGCAGCAAAAAATTCTGTCACAGAACAGCATACAAATAATAGATTGACGAAAAAATTGAGCATAATATTAAACATATTAAAATTTTGGGAGGAAGTAATTTTCATACCAGGAGACAATAAAATATTTGCACTCGGATTGCATAATAAATTTCAGCCTAAATGTCAAATTCTCAAATTTAGAGATTTTTCCTCACACCAAAAGTTTGCTAACCGATCAGTTTTGTTAACTAAGGGTTCACTGTGCTCACCTTGAAAAGATTTCCATGAGCATTGCGTGGATATTCTCGAGGGAATTCCTTCCAGAATTCACTGGGCATGAGATCAACTGGCAATGCGTCCAATCCATGTATGTGGCATACCCCCCCAGGTACAGAGAACACAACGTGAAGATACATAGCCGTGGACCCTGCAGCAGAATTCCCCTATACTGTACTACGAAATTGTTTCCCTTGATAATAATCGCCGGTATTACTCTCAAAAAACGTACTTTTTCGCGACGGATCACAGAAAAGAAACAAAGGATACAGGAACAACACTGGATTGATTTTGGAGCTTTCCTGAAGATTCCCGAGGAATTACAGACCATCATTTTCACATGCTCTTCGTCTTACCAAACGTGTAGCTATAATACTTCAATTTATGATTAAAACAACACAAGATAAAACTTCACTTATGAACACCATCAATAAGAAACATTTGTTCCTCCTCATTTGATTTCCCACTTCAGCAGGAACGTCGCGATATCAATTTTCCTTTCCTTCTGTTGATGCGAAACATCCTCTTGGCGACGTATTATGACCAGCATACAACACTAACTCAAGTACTGTAGAATGATTTCCAATATATTGTTCAGTTGAACTGCTCCGAACCGCCGATTTTCCCAAAGCCCTGGAGGCGCACTTTGTACGGTTTTAATCAGAGGAGACTAGAGAAAAATGTTCAAGCCGTACACCTTGCTCGAAGTCGTTTGTTTTACACCTGAAAAATTGCTTCTCAAATAATTGACTGATTTTATGAGATGTGAGAAGAACGACCAGGGATTTTTCTCCCCAACAAGCGCAAGCCTTTGTTAACAGTTAGGTAATAGGAACACAAATACAACAGCAAATATTCACAATAGAACTCAGGAATATGAACAACAGTTTTTAGCAAAAAATGCACAACAGTTTTCGCGGACTTAGACAATTTTGATGACGAAAGAACACGACGCAACGCAA